AGGGGGTCTGGGCACTTAATGATTTGTGAAGGCCATTCTATTATTCAGAAGTTGATAGACAATTGCATGTTGGAATCGGTTAAAAATAAAAACCAATTATATCACATGAAACCGCCTGAAATGATTAAAAGCAAAAAGAAAGAAGATCGGGTGAGTATGCATGATCTTCTCCGAGATATGGCATTGAAGATTATTCATCCTCAATTCATGGTGAAAGCTGGCATGGCCTTTGAAGAGCTACCGGAGGAGGATGAATGGACAGAAGATCTTTTGAAGGTTTCTTTAATGAATAAGAACATTAGAGAATTTCCTTCAAGTATGTGGTCCCCCAAGTGTCCAATGCTCACAACCTTCTTCTTGTCCAAAAACAATATTACAACAATTCCAGAAGCCTTTTTTGATCATATGCCTGGGCTGAAGATCCTTGATCTTTCTGGCAATCACAAGCTACATAGGCTGCCCAGTTCTGTTTCTAAATTAGAGTCTTACTACACTAATGTTGGAGAATTGTGAGTCCTTAGAAGAGGTACCATTTTTATCCAACCTTGGAGGCTTAAAAAAGTTAGACCTTTATGGGACATCAATTAAAGAACTACCCCAAGGCCTCAACTTGTTAACCAATCTAAAATATCTTTGGCTTGGTGGAATGTTATCTGAATTACCTGACGGATTGCTACGAAATCTCTCCAAACTTCAGTGTTTAGGAGTAGATGGGACTATACCATTGAAATGGGAGGAGATTGGAAGATTGAGGAAGTTGGAATCTCTTGATGGCCGGTTGTCTACGCTGGATGATATGAGCCTTTTTGTTAAGTCTGAAAAGTTTTTAAATCAATACAGAATTTTTGTTGGAAGTTGTAGTCCAGGAAACCTTTTCAAATGTTATGAAATTAATTGTATGCTATCATATTGATATATGTGAGGAGCCTAATTGGTTACCATCTGATGCACAAGGCTTCTACATCAAGGACTGCAAGGATGTGAGAAGCTTGGACGACATGTCTGGCTTGCAAGAAGTAACCGACTTGCGGCTCTGCGCTGTTGATGGATGTGATGGCCTGGAGTTTGTTGTTTCCTCACACTACTTAAAGCCGCTCCAAAACCTTGAGTCGCTATACCTTTGTTCTCTGAAAAATTTGAATGTAGTGGTTGGGGCAGTAGAAGCAATTGCCAAGTCAGCACTGCTGCCAGCTGGCACTTTTTCTTCTCTTCAAAAAATTGAAGTTGATGTCTGTAGAAAAATAAAGGATTTATTGCCACTTAGGTTGTTGCGGTATCTCCAGAATCTACAGACCATTAATGTTATAGCTTCTGATCAAATGGAGGAGATAATATGGTCCGATTATGAAGGGGGAGAAGAAGCCCCAGAAAAACTCACTCTACCAAAGTTAAAAACGGTGATATTGCACGAGTTATTCGCATTGAAGAGCATCTACAGTGGCTCTACTACTGTCTTGATCTGTGATTCCCTCAAAAGGATTGAAATTCAATTGAGCGAAGAAATAGAGAGTGTTTTTTGGACGGGGTTTAACCCACTTCCAACCCTTGAGCATCTGCAGCTTGGGAGGTTAGATAATCTGAAATCCATGTTTGATGAAGAAGTTCTTGCTTAACCGACCCCTCCCACCAACTTTTTCTCTCTTAAAACAATTGCTGTGTCTTGTTGCCCTAAATTAAAGAAAGTATTCTCATCTGGATTGCTGCTTGGCCTCTTCCAATCTCTAGAGACTATTCAAGTTAGAGATTGTGACGAAATGGAGGAGCTGATATCATCATCAACCTATGAAGAAAAAGAAGCCCTAGAAAAAATCACTCTACCCAAGCTCCAAAGGTTAGAATTATCTCTATTGCTCGAATTGAAGAGCATCTGTAGCAGTTTCAGTGTGTTGATTTCTGATTCCATCAAGATTCTAGACATTTCCAAGTGCAAGAAGCTGAAGAGGATTCCTTTGCCTCTTTCCTCGCTTGACAATGGCCAGCATTCTTCCCTCAAAGAAATTTGGGTAGACACAAAAAAACGATGGGAATCATTGGAATGGGACCAATCCAATGCAAAGGTTGACCTTCTACGTTTTGTAAATTTTCACCGTGACAGAAACATTGACATGGAAGGAAGAAAAAGAAGAAGAAATGTCTGGTGACGACAACGATGATGAAGAAAAAGAAGAAGAAGAAGAAATGTCTGGTGACGACAACGATGATGAAGAAAAAGAAGAAGAAGAAGAAATGTCTGATGACGACAACAATGATGATGAAGAAAAAGAAGAATCTTTTAGGATGGGCTAAGAAGCAAAGGAGTGTAGGCTCTTTGGTGATTGGGCGGTGCAAATGTAAGCTTTTTTAGCTTCATTTTTCATTTCTGATTTTGATTCTGATTCAACTCAGTAGGAGTTTTCATTTTTTATGCTTTCCTTCTTCTTTTCTATCTCAACAAATCTCTCTCTCTCACTCGTCTTTTCTTTTTAATATCTTTTGTTTCTTCTCCCCATTGGCAGCAAAGCTGGAGTTGGACTTTGTTGCCACAAGAAAGCTGGAGGAAATCACATTTGCTTCCACCTGTTATTGTTGTTGGGTTTTCAATTTAATATAGATACACTTGCTGTTTTTTGTTTTTCTTTCTTCTTCTCCTTCCTTTTTTTTTTTTTTTGTTGTGTGTTTAAATATGTCAAATTCTAAGTGGAACTGTTTATTTCTTATCTGTGTAATTTTGTCTTTCAAACCTGTGTAAAGATCTATCTTATTTCCTTTGGTATTTCTTTTGCTACATTTGCATCTTTGCTTTTCTTGTAATAAGCATTTTTGGCTGAAATTGTGAGATATTGCTATTTATCTTTGTTTTGAACCTTATTAGTGATAGTATAATACTTCAAAATAGTATTTTGATTCATATTTTTTTTAATTGAACTTATGGTTAAACTTCATTAATGATCATGCCTGTTTCAAAAGAAAAGTGTAATGGCCGTCTTTGGATATAGGCATATGTGTTACATTCATCTGTGGGCAGGCTAATGTTTGTGCCATTGGTGCTGTGTTAGAAAAGCATGTTGGTGATGAGAAGCTAGTGGATTGATACTAATTAACACAATCCAAACAGGTATTTGATTGCTCTCTCTTTTTATTAGAGCAAAATTCCTATCACAATAGCTTTGTTTGCATATGTATTCTGATCTTCAGTCACTTTTTAGAGCAGAGGAGAATTTCCTATGACTTGCAAATGATGTGGGAAAGATAGTTCTTATGAGCTTGTTCCTTTCTAAGCAAGCATTTTCATATTGGTGAAGACACAACATATACCAGGCACATGGTAAGACCTGCTTGCTTTGAAATCGCCTTTAATGAACAAAATCAATAATACCTATTTAGATTTTGGATCTATACAGAGTTGATGATGTAATAATCATAAACAAATGGCAAAATGGTGCCATAGTGTTACAGTGTCATTTTTAGTTCTTACCCTTCCAAAAGTAGCTGAGGGATATATATTCTAACTAGCATGCCATTTTCCTATTGTCTTCTTTAATCTGAATTTTGTCTAACTAATTTTTATCTGGTACATCTGTCAAGTAAGCCAAAGTTTATCTTCCGGATACCATGCATTTTGAGGATGCATCTGGACTGAAGTGGAGAAGGAAATGCTAGCTCTCAGCAGCAAATTACAAGTATTTACTTTGTAAAGCTAATAATCCTTAATGTGAATAAATTTCTGAATTCTACCCTTACTTTCTGAAACTCAAAACATAATTTAATTATGTGCTTTACTTTTGGTGTTAACCTCTGCAGGTGCCTTAGAGCAGATGTATGGTGCCTCTACTTTCAGTGGAGGAAGTGGAGAACATGGATTCAGGGATCTAGTTTGGCACACCATGTTTGAGAAGGATAAGAGAAAACTTATTTAGGGTATTGACTCCTCAGATGTTGTTCTCCAGGTCAGTCTATCTTCTTTTATTGTCTAAGGACTCAACAGAAGTTGCATTCAATTTTTTCCCTTCTGCCCTCATCCTTTAATACACCAGTTGGGAATTTAGTGCTACCATTAGGGAAAAATATAGGATGATATGTCATTTCTGCTATTTATCTGCAGGAAGTGTTAAAACATTTTTTTGTTTCATAAATCCTTATCAGTTTTGGTTTCTTTATTTTACTATGTTTAATGCATGGTTTTTGCTCTCCTTCAAATGTAAAGAGGATTGAAAAGAATTCTTGTGTCAATTCATTCTTTATTTCTATTTCTTTTTACAGGTTTTGGATGCTACATGTTAGGGACCCACAAGGTACAAGATGCCTTCATCTAGAGAAGCATTTGAAAGAAAACTGCAAGCATAAACATGATTCTTCTGTTAAACAAGTTTAGTCTCATCTTCTAGCTGTATTTATAAGGCTGCGACAGCTTGTGAACACTTGTAGTTCCCCCTTTTCACTGTGAGATTGTTTACGCTTGGGCTACAAAGGGGTGGCTTAGAATATTATGAAAGCATTTCATGCTTGCATCAATAGGTCATTTTGCAAGGTAAGTAATACATTTCACTTTCTCTCTCTCTCTTTCTCACATGCACACAAATGCTGGAGAAGCTCCCCTTCTTTTAGTTTAAGGCAAATGTTGAAGGAAAACCTTAATCTACCTAGAAAAATATTCTATGCAAAGTACTTTGTATATTTTTTGCGTTTTTAGCTACTAACTTGTATTGACTCAGCATTATCATTTGTCTTTTCTTTTCTCATTGCACACGGGGTTCTCTGTTGTCAACTTTGACACAATTTGCCTTCCTAACAAGTGACAAGCAAGCAATATCTGTGGGATTTGTTGGGTATCCTAATGATGGAAAGTCTTCTGTTATTAACATAGGTCCTAAAAATGTGCTGCCTCTTTATGGCTTCTTCTGTTGCATTATTCATGAAAATTTGTGTTTCTATGCCCTTGAATGTTGAAGGGATAAATGTGCCCATCACTATGTTCCAAACTCTATCTAACATGTTTATTAACTCTTATCTAAGATCTGATTTCTCTAGATGCTTTTAAGTATAGCACCATATCTGTTTGTCAACATTGTAGCCAAATGAATGTCTTGCAACTGTTTGATTTTTTAACTACTGTTATATTTTAGGCACCTATCTATCTACTTCGTTTATGAGGTCAGTGGTTCATCTAATATAATTGTTTGCTTTTCTAAAAGGTTTGCAAAGTTGCTTGATTCTTGGGTAGACTAAGTTGTGGCAGTACATAACACTCACAAAAATGATCTCCATTGACTACCCTGGAGTTGTTTACCAGAACAGTGACTCTGAAACAAATATTGTACTAAAGGGTATGCCATGTTCGATCAACTAATTGCCTGCACTTTCTTCTGCCCTTCACAATAGTGGGGCAATGGTATGTTTAATTTATTGTTATTTCTCAGAGCAACTACAGCAAGAACTGAGTACCTAATTCCTTGGAGAAAAGGAAATCCTGTGGAATTTCTAGTGATAATTTATATATAAACAAACCTAAAGAAAGCTTTTTATTGCCATAGCCTTAAGAGAGCTGAAAAATTAAGGATCTTTTGTGTATCATACTGCACAATATTTAGCATTATCAGTTCCAATGTGTACAATAAATACTAAAATGCCTGCAAGAGTTAATATTTCATGTGAGAATATATATTAGAACACCATATAAGTTAATGCTTGCACATCCACTACTTTAGACTCTTAGAACTATTCAAATAATTACAAATGCTGTTATAACCTGTGTGGACAAATGTTAAAGCATTCATTTTACAAATTCAACATTTTTATCTTTAGTTTGGTTTTCCAAACATGGGCATGTAAGAGAAATATTATCCGCCTAGACCAAGACTTAACTTTGACTTGTTCAAAGGACAAACAAGGTGAATGACAGTTAGTAACAACTGTATATTCTACCAGTCTATCAATCTACTAGGTTATTTATCTCAGAAATCTACTAGCTATTTGAATGTAGATTACTTTGGCCCTCTTCCAGTTACGTGTCACAAACTTGGAGGATGCTTCTGAACATATTGGAGAAGTTCTGAAGTGTGCAAAGAACAAGCACCTTGAAGAAGCATGCTAGATGAAGGACTGGTAAGCTACTCTGTGGTTTTGTAACTAGCTTTCCATTGTTATCATATATTTGTAATTTTAAATGAATTTCTGCAACATTTTGTAACTAGCTTTCCTTACGTGGATCCCTATCTGTGTTGCCTTTTCAATTGTAAATTCTTACTGAAGTATATGCTTCTATGAATGGTCAATCTCTAGGGTGGTGAACCAGATATGATGACTGCAACAAAGATGGTCCTCCTTGACTGGCAAATGTATATGCTTCTATGAATGGTCAATCTCTAGGGTGGTGAACCAGATATGATGACTGCAACAAAGATGGTCCTCCTTGACTGGCAAATTAAAGAGGCAAATCGTCCTTCCTTGTTCCTGCCTCATCAATGGGATGATGGCTTGTCAGAATCACATACTATGCATGGAATAGATGAAGAGACGGTGGCTAATGATAGTCAGGCATACCTGCAGCAACACGTGAAGCCATCACAAATGTAATCTCAATCCAGCAGCAAAGAAGTTTACCAGTACTTAAGGATCTCTATTCTCTTTAGTGAGAAAGAACTAAAGGATGAGAAAGCCAACGAAGTCCCTAAATGAGAGGGAGATACCAAGTTCCAGCAGCTGAGCTAGACGTATGCCTGGAAGAAAACATGGCTCTCTTTTTGTAGTTTTGGAATTATTGTTTTCACATCCAGCATATTTTTGTTCTTCCAAGATGATGAGTTCTAGTTATTTATCATGTAAAATTATCCTTGAATATTCTGGGAGTTAATCCGTGGAGGCATGGAATGACAGTTTGTATGATACACATGGAAAGATGAATCAACATTCAGAAACAGGGTGGCCCAAGTAATGAAAAAAATCATTCAAGTTTTTCCCATGATGGTTGAGTTGTTCTTATCGTCACTTGGTACTTCTAATCATCAGAGTGAAATCAAGTAACTGCTTTGGCCCAATAAAACAATGGAATGCACCTATGAAATGAAATGAAGTGTGTATTTTTTGTTCTCATCATTCTATTACAAATTCAACTAGCTCCATTATAAAACTGATTGAAAAATTTTGACCTGTAGATAGTATCACATGGTTATTTTTTACTAAAATTATTGATTTTTTTTCCGAAAAATAATGCATTTGATTTATTTATAATTTCATAACTCTTATATAGGGGTTAGATACTAAATTTGGTACTAAAATATTATGCATGATACAAATATTAAAAAATTATAGATCAAATATATATTTACTCATTAGTATTATCTATTATTTGATTTTTGTGCGTTTATCAACATTATAGCCAAAAGAATATCCTACAATTGTATGATAGATCCAAATCAACCTCTTCCTTGACATTATAGATTGATACCAAAGCCAACAACAAAGATGGAAATGCTTTTGTTTTCTTGACCAAGAGTAGGAGTGTTGTATTAGTCAATTGATGCAGTGATATTATATACCAATTTCTTTGCCACTTGAAAGACATGCAACATACATCTTTTTGGTTAAATGATAGTGTTTTAAATCATTTATTATTATTTTAGGGTAGTTTGATTGATTATATTTTGTATTCTACTTTCTTAAGAAATTAATATTTTATTATTTAATCAGCTTGAATTTCTTTTAGATTAAAATTTTAATATATTTTAGTTCTACTTTTTATTATGTAAATTTATATCCTATTTTTTTTACTTTATCACTATTCATTGAACCAATATCTACCTTTTCTAAATTATCAAACCCACACATATTTGTGCTGTTAATGTTCTACCATTTTAAATTACTAGTATATGCTGCATAATATCCTTGGTTAATTAACATTTTGCTGCTAGTTTATGCGTTAGAATCAAATCTTGTAATAGATTTTTATTTTTAGATTTTCTCAAATTTCTATCCTTTTGGTTGAAAGAAAGGCAAACTGATCTAATTACAAAATTCATCATGTGTTGGAATCCATTAGACTTCCTTTTCGTTTAATTTTTTGGCCATCCAGTAGACTTCTTTTTCAATCATACAAAAGCAATAGCAATTAGCAATACATTTCTTCTCCAAATACGAAAGAGATTGAATTAGAAAAAAGGGGGGGAAGGAGAAAAGAAAGGGAACTCTGAATATAGAAGAAATGGGCCCTTATTAAGCCGAAGTTTAATATCTCACTGCTTCTAGTCTTGGTAATGTGGAAATAGAACCTAAATCAACGACAAAAATTGGCGAAGTTATTCAATGTAGAACAGCCTCTCAAGCTTCTGCTATCACTTCCTTGGTTCTCTTTTCATCTTCTTGTAACAAAGTGATTGCACTAATTTCCTGAAAAAAAAAAAAAAGAAAAAAGAAAAAAGAAAAAAAGATTGCACCAAAAATGCACTTTGTCTGTAGTGTCATCACATGTGCTCTCCAGATTGCATCTTTGCTT